GTATATGAAAGTTAAATGTGATTTGATCTATTTCTGTTGTGGTCTAATCCTATAATACGATGTTAGTTTCGTACATAGTTATAAATAGCGATAAATAACCTCATAATAACGGCGCTAATAGCGTTAGCGGTCCATTCCCGCTACGCTATCACCCAATAACGGTGACATATTACGGAATATGCGTTTCTGTTCGCAAAAGCGACCAATAGTGTGTCATAACGGTAAATAGTTAGAGATTACATACGAAATTCACTTTTTAAATGCTATTTAAAAGTGGTTTGAGGTTTATTTTTTTAAAATTAAACTCTACCCTTGACCATTGCATTTCACCGTCTCCTGTGATTTTCGACACACTCCCGGCACCTTTCATAGCCTCTGGCACCTACATCAGTACGTCCTCTCACCTCCTTCACCGTGAGCTCCTCTTAGGGTAGTCCTCTCATCGCTCAGCTCTTCTTCTCGAACTCGACGACTCTTTGACTCCTCCAGTCATCTTCGGTATTACGTAATGGTTACATGTCTATTTCATGTTTAGGATTTCTTTAATTCATCAAATATATACTTTTAGATTATTTAGATTTTTCTTTAATCTTTCTTTATTTAGTATTTACACATATCTAACTTAGACCACTATTTGACTTTGCGCTTTTTATCGTTATTTTACCGTAATAACCCAAATAGTCTTAGCGATGCCTCACCGCTACGCGATGCTATCCGCTATCGATAACCTTGTCGTACAAGATATGAAAAGCCAATTTGATTTTATGTAAAATATGAAAAGTGAATTTGGTTTTTACGCGGTCTCATATAATTGTAGATATTGCTTTAACTGAAAGCTTTTGGAAAAAAAGTATTTTGAACGTGTTTTAATAGTTTAATGGATTCAAAGATTTTTGTGACTTAGTATCTGATAAAAATAAAAAAAAGTGAAATTCGTAAACTGTTTTAACTGGGATGATGAGTTTTACCCTCGTCCACTACATTTGAAAATATTTATAAATTCTAATAAGCAAGGTATTTCTGATTTGACATGTGATTCTCGATGTTTTCAAACCCTTAAAAAGTCTACTATGGAGTGATTCTGCCTGTCATATGGTGAATGCATCTTTATTTAGCCCCTCTGTATTGGTCCTTCTGAAATCTGTTCTAGCCCGAAATCTGTTCTGGCCCCTTTATATTTCGCCAGTAACCTATGGCAGCGTTAGGTGCATTCGATTTCCGATAATTATCTATTATGTGATGCGTTTTACGCATTCCCATGCTACTGGACTATAATTCGTAGCCTTAGTGTGACTTATGTGATGCGTTTTACGCATTCCCATGCTACTGGACTATAATTTGTAGGATTAGTGTGACTTATGAGGTGATTTTCACATTCACGAATGACTCATTGAGATTTAAGATTCTGACAAATGACTGTGAAATAGAGAAAATAACAAACCTTTGGTTTTTGCACAAATTTAATAGTCCATTTCTTTCTCAGTATTTACCTTGTTTTAAAAAGGGGTCTGATTTTGGAATATATTATAATATATTTAGTCTGCAAATGAGAAAGAAATATAAATTGTTACATTCTATCATAAAAATATCAATAGTATGTTAGTTTGAATTTCTGGTGCAAAACTTATAATTTGTTATTTCTTAAAATTATTCTTATTATTATTTTGTTAGTTATCTAGGAACTCTAGTGAGAAATGTTCTCACTGAGCCCTAGCTCACCCCGTTGCTTTTTTTTCAGATCTCGCCTAGCTATATTATAAGCTGAACTTTTGGTTGTGGCACGTCGCTTGGAGGCGTTATAGGAAAAACCTCCTCTTTGGTGTTTCACACAGTCAACGATATGCTTTATTTTGTGAAATATTTGTAACGTGAGCTTGTGGGTTGTAAAGTACTGCTCTTTATATACTTAATCTTATTAATATATATACTCACTACTCATCTATATTATATATTGGATACCTATTATATTCCATTCATATAATAATATATCCTACCATATACTATATAATATATATATATAGTGGCTCTAAACTTCTATCATCAGCAAGTTTATATATGTTTTGAGATAGCTCTGTGATATGAAGTGTCAGGCTTGACTCATGCTCGAGACTTGTTTCGTGTACGGGTCGCTCCTATCACGTAAACTGTATTTATGAATTTTCGTTGCAAATTCGGGGCGTGACAGCAGAACTAGACACCTTTTCAACTGGATTGTAATGATGCTCGGCACTAATCATGGTCTAGCTTAGATAGTAGATCGCTTGTTTGTAAAAGTCATAATTCTTTTGAGTAAGAAGTGCTCCAAAAGAAAAGTCCACAGCTCTAATGTAGATTAGGAATAGTTTACCTGATAATGACGCTGCTAGAACGGGTGGCTTCGTGAGGTGTTCTTTTGATCTCATTAACTTATTTTCAATGATTTACTTAAGTTTAACCTTCTAGGCTGAAAGCAAACCCACCAATCGACAGAGAATACGAGTCTCCTCCGTAAAACTGCCCTCTACTTAGGCCAACTCTTGTTGAAGTTGCTTGTTATCGGCCTCTTTATCAAAGACAACCTCCGGTCGGGAAGGAGAAGACTTAGACATGAAGTAGATAAAGATGTAATAAGTTAGAAATGGAAGCGGGCTATTTATAAACCCTTCCAAAACCAATTTTCCCAAAACAAAATTCACTTCTTACGAGAAGTGATTGGACCGCTCAAAAAGGCTAAAAAATAACCTAAATGGTAGGGTCTCCAATGAATTTCGCCTAAACTGTTGACCACTAAGAGAGATCTCAGCCGAAGATCAAGGCATAGATCTTAGGGAAACAGTCTTAACGACCCTCGCCAATTAGCGAACTTTGCTCAACTAGTCAAAGTTGAGCGAACCCTGCCAAAATTCATGGCTAGGCGAACATTACTTAATAGAAGTTATTCCCTTGAACCTCGACCAAAGTCAAGGGAAAATGAATCTTTAACCAAACACAAAATTGGACAAATATTCAACAAAAGAGCATGCAAATGCTAATGAGAATCTAATCAATATGAATTATGACGAAAGAAGCTACATTCAACAATACACCTCTAGCAACCAAGTAGTTAAATTGAGACGAGTGCAACCTATGTAAGACAACTCAAGCTACGTTCAACAATACACATTTGACTATTACCTAAAGTATTTCGATCCCGACTACAAGCTAAAGGAAGGATTTTGAAATCTTTGAGGGGGGCTTATAGATAGTTAAAATGTACTCTCCCCTTTACCAATGCTCAATCCAATACAACCACAAAAAGCAAATGCCTGTAGGCTAAACAATTCATGTGCGCCAAGTATATGCCCTAGCAAAGCTCGCCGAAGCCATAGCAAGACTCGCCAAAGCCCACAACGAAGCTCGCTTCGAGGACCAAGTCAAAGAGAAGCTTCAAGCGAAGTTCACCCAAAACGAACTTCACCCAAATAGCCCACGTGGACCACGTCATCCACACCCTAAAGAAAGTGAGTTACCCACGTTCTGGTGAAGTTTGCTAGAACAAACTTTGCCCCTGGCCGCTCAGTGAACTTCAACCATGATCGTTATTGGCGAACCTCGCCCATGACCGTTTCAAAAACTATTTTTACGGAAACGGTTCAGTCCTATTATCTCTCAGTTCATGGCCATTAATTCACATTTAATGGCAACTAACTCTCTCTTAGCCTATAAGAGGAGAGATTGCTTATTTTTGGGAATCTTAGGATCTTATCAATTATCATCTTATTATCCAGAGATAAATCAAGCGCAGCTCAACTTCAACGATCTTTATAAAATCAGCAAGAAGACCCTTCGTTTATTCTTCGAACGGTCAACGGAGCACAAGATCGACGCTCCATCAACATACGGAAAAGAAGCCAGAAATATAAATTTTCCCGTTTCAATTGTAATTCCCTGAATTTGTAACCTACGTCAGTTATAATTCAAAGACCCAAAACAGTGTGAATTTATCAATATTTGCTAAACGGACCTAATTCAAGGCATAGTATACTATGTCCCTTAGATTGTGATAGATATCACTAAGAGAAGATTCAAAGCTGAAAGCTACCTATTTTGAATCCACAGTATTAGGTTGCTCAACCTTCTTTTTATTTATATTTTGTTGATATACTTCTTTGATCCCAACCTTCTGGTGGTTGGGGGTAGGGGGACTGTTAGATTTTTATTGTTTTAAACAGGAAAAAGTTAAGTTTCTTAATCTTATCTCTTTACATGTTACTAAATTATCCTTTTAAAATCAGTTATGATAACCCTCCCTCTCCTGCGTTTCTTGAACAGAAAGAGAGAGAAATAAAACAGAAAAAATTCTATTAAACATGGAATGGAAGAGACGTAAAATATTATGGAAATCACGGGAGAAAAGAAGAATCAGATTCTTCAATGTTTCGTTCAGAAGCTCTATGAAAGATGTACTCAGAAGAAGAGGAAAAAAACACAGCAAAGAAGAAAAGCTTCATCTCTTCTACAACTCTCCCTCTCAAAATTTCCAGATATTTATATATCTTGCAACTTATATTTTTCTGTTTTTCTCAAGACAACAATTATCCGAGCAAGAGGCTCGAGGGTCACCGCATCCTCAGGCGTTGGTTTCCGGGGGCTTTTCCCGCTACGAGAGGGACAATCGTTGAAGCCTACGCGAGGGCGTGCGTCTGTTTTTCTAGGGCATTGTTTACACAACTTCTCCCCATAGGCCAGCAATCATATTTCTTTTGTTTAGTTTTACTGAATTGCTTAATTTGAGTTTTTCGTAACACTATATTCCTATTAATGTATACAGTTCTTAAAATGGACTAATAGAATATCAGAAATGGAGGCTTCCGGCCTTTAGCTTTAGTTTGGATGGGTAACTGAAAAACTACATAATGTTGAAAGTGTGTTCACAACTCAAGAAGTTTGAATATTTACTAGTTCTGAATTATGGTAACCAAGATAATGCACCATTTATTGACCAATAGAGAAGCATATTCATGATATAAGGAATGGAGTACCTTCACTGCAATAGCAAGCCATTCTCCCTCTTCAGAAATTGTTCGATGATTCACCGAGGAAAGGATTTTCAAGACTAAACTGGAGCAGATATCAAAGATCTGTGACGAACAATGTGCTGAGGTATATACATGGTGAAGAGCATTGCAAATGCCTTGCATGCAGAAGTAGTTAGAAGCCTCGGGACAGATATCCAGAATTCCAGCAATGACATTCAGAGTAGAAATCAGGTCATCTTCTATAAAATAATCATGCACCTGTTTCAGCAGTGATACCAGAAGTAGTGTCATGTTATTATCCTGGGAAAGAACTAGTTCTGTGATCATGGGTATGTTGATTATCTGGATTGCACTGGCTTGAATATTAATATGGGTTTTATTATAACTTCTACAAAAGTTAAGCAACTGATTTAATAAGGGCACCATAATCTCTTCTTGTTGGAAAAGCCATTTCAATGATATTGGATGTGAACCCATCCTTAGAAAGTCCCACTCCTGCTCAGCTATCAAATGAAATAGCTCCCTTTCAGCTTCTGGACTGTATGTCGTCCTGTGGCAACCCATCTCTGTGCCTCTAACAAGTCCATAAAGAATCACTACCTGAGTCAGCATAATGGAATCAGCAATTCCACATGTGAAGTTGCCTCCATTAACAATTACAAATTGTTCCAGTGAAGCCAGCACATGGATATGATCAGCAAGGCTATATAGAAGATTAAGGCAAGATTAATTAAGGACACAATGCGATATGAATAAGTTAGTTGACGACAAGTATACTGTTACCTCTCACCATACAATGAGCTAACATATAGCATCGTAATAACTGCTCGCTGACAACATGTCAAGTCACGATCATATGAACTTTTTTGTCCCAGTAAAAATAGCAAGTCCATAGGGTCTGATGGGAGATGCATGTAGGCATCTCTGATGGGATGTCCAAACTCAACACCAACAGCTCTGTCAGCGACTGAACTGAACATTAGATATATCCTTGACTTCATCTCTTCAGATGGAAATAAACCCAAGTACCTAAAAGACAAGCTGAACCAAGATGATGAAGCTAATACCTCAGCAAAGTTATGTGTTTCAACTTCAGAGCCCCTAAGTAAAATTAGGTGAAATGTTTCAAGGACATCCACCACCACTTCCTCCTCCACTCCATCAATTTGCCTTTCAAGCCATGGTAAAAGATAGACTTCACATATCTCAACAATGCCCATCTCCAATTTGTTCTCAGAATTTGAAATGTCAAGACTGTACAAATGTGCCTCTTTCAGTAGGTAGAGAGCATAAAGCAAAAGTTGATTACAACTTCCTTGGGCTAAAGAAAGAGACGATAAAATTAAAGTTGTTAATGCTTCTCGGATCATTGTTGCAAAATTTTTCATATGGGTGGCAGATGGTAATTTAAGAATCTCCACAAATGCCGAACACGCCAACATCAAGGATTCAGATTGTAGACCTACTTCCCCACTAGTACACTTTCTGAATATTTTTATCAAAATTAGAGAAATTTCTTCTATTTGAGGCATTGATATGACACCTGGGCAATCTACGATACTTCTCAAAACAAGCTGTAACACTTGAGATTGAACAGGGTGAAGAGGTATATCTGCTACGTAATATAGAACAAAAAGCAATGTGGGAAATCCAATAGTAAGCCTCTCTCTGAAGGCTTCCTGTGCAGTTGATAAAAGAAAGAGAACCTGGATGCCAGAAATAACCAGGGGATCCTTGTTTCCTGCTAAAGTTTATCCAAAGTCAAGGACTGACCAACTAAATGGATATGCATTGGATGAAACAAGTAGTATACATGTCTCTAAGGATCGTACTTCTCAAACAACAAGACAATCATAATTACCTGACATTCTTAGTATTTCAAAAACATAATCCGCTACATTTTCTTCAACAAAGATTTGAATTTGTTGCCCACAATTGGCATCTGATGATAGAGAATGCAAGATCAAATCCAACGTTCTGATTTGCACTTGGGTATCAGTAGAAAGCAAAGGGCCTTTAACAGCATCAGCAAACAAGTTAATAAGAGGAGTCCGCAAATCTGCTTCACCTACTTGCATCAGATACCTCGTTGCTTCAAAACTTGTACCACTTTGACTAGCTGCTAATAAGATTCCAAAAAATCCTCTTTGTGCTAACACTGTAAGCAATGCTGGTGAAAGTAGATTTACATTAGTTCAATGTGATAATACTGAATAATTCTCATAATTTTGCTCAGAAACAACCATGGCCACCATTTAGTTTGGGAAAAAGCTACTTACCCATGTATGAAGGTAATTTGAACTTAGGAATAAAGTAAAATTATGTGAAATATGCCATTACATGTAATTCCTATACTATGAAAGGATTGAAATTTTGCACAATTATATGATGTATACATATTCTTGGAAGATTTTGATATTGCATGTCATGGCTAACATTCCAAGCTTGGTTTCTACACAAATGTCCTTAATTGAATGTTAGATGTGATGACTGAGATCTTGATATACACGCAATAACAAAACAGTGCATGTGGATTAACAGTCCAACTGCAAGAACACAACATACTCTGGGGTCAGCCGGTGCACATCATTTGACCATTGTAAACCCTTCTTTTTCTTTTTCTCTCTTTTTTTTTCCTTTTTTTCGCGCAAGAGTAATGCAAACGGATCACTTGCTGATAACCGTAAGTGAGATTATTGATATTTCTATTGCTAACCAATAACCTACTTGTTAGCAGTTCCCATGTTCAGCAGTCCTACTGCCATAGCCATCACACATCCATTTCCCAATCTAACCAATACTGAGTAAATATATTTTCCATGTTAAGCCCAAGGTTCTCCATAAATTTATTGTACTCCTTCCTGATTAGTAATTTTTTGGTTGATCATTCTCTTATTGGTTTATAAAATAGCAGGCTGAAATGATCCAAAATGAATAGTATAAACCCGCACACAGACTAGACACAAATATATGAGAAGAGAAACCGGTTAACTTATGCAAAGATTTAGAAGCAAATCCACTCACTCAAATCAAATAATGCAAAAACTAGATTAAAAATCCATTTCATTGAAGAATTAACATCAGTTTCAATTACCACAGAGAAAAAGGTCTTTCCTTTAGTTTTTTCCCCAGCCTGCACATCAAGTTGGTATGAAGTGGGTGGCCAGAAAAAAAAAAGATTTGGTTCAACATTTCAAAATATTTGAAAATTAAAATAAATTGGTATAAAGGAGGTCTAATTGTTAGAGCATGACAAGAACTTGTACGCAAGAACACTATATTTAGAAAAATGCCATGTTCAATCATTTCTTTTTTTTCTTTTCTTTTTTTTTACTTCAAGAATGGGCAAGATAATTCAATTCACTTAGTTTTTTAACATTGGGTACTTTACATGATGTGTCTACACACACATACTTCAAGAAAAGTAGAAGGTTACGATATGATTTTGGCCTAAAATTAAGAAAACATCCAAAAATTCCAATTTTTTTCTTTTTCCTAGGCCTCTGGAATTTTTATGGAAATTAGAAAAACCAAAGTAAACACCTTATCCAGTCCCCTGGTATATTCCGTTTCTTACGTGCTTAGGACGAACATTCCTTTTTACTTTGCGGCTGATTCAACTTACTTTGCAATGATCTTACTTTTACATTGGTTTCCTCTTTCTTTATGTATATCAGTGGAACTTATATTCAACTCCAATAATCAATATATTCTCTCTTTTGTGAGTTGTATTTATTTACTTGTTCATTTATGTGGACTCTTGAGTCAATACAGTTGTTGAGCTCAGTTGTTTTAATAGCAAACTATAAATTTAGGCCATGTATCATCTTGTTGAGCTCAGTTGTTTTAATAGCAAACTGTGAGTTTAGACCATGTATCATCTTGTTGAGCTCAGTTGTTTAGCAAACTGTGAGTTTAGACCATGTATCATCTTGTTGAGCTCAGTTGTTTTAATAGCAAACTGTAAGTTTAGACCATGTATCGGCAATATATTGGTGTAGCAATGCCAATAGATAAGATGCCCTATAAGTTATATCTGTAGCGTAGTTAATTATAATATGTGTAGTCTTAGCCTTTTGCATTATTATTATTGGGGTGAATTCCACAAAAAACCCCCAATACTTGGGGGTGCTTCCCACGAACCCCAATACTTTGGTTTTCCCACTAAGCACCAAGAAAATTTTCCACATAATTGCCAAAGTGATGAAAATGCCCCTTAGGCCAAAAAAAATCCTTGGCATCCTTAGATTCAATCTCATAATATTTATCTTGATGCATAGATTAGACTATTCCAATAGATGATCCAATCCATTTATCATGTTCTAAATATATCAAAACATCTATAAAACAAAAATCATGACATTTCAATCATTATAAGACATTTACATTGCCTTATTAGTTTTATTGCCGTAAAACCGTTAATTTTATAATCACTTGATATATGAGTAACTATAACTCAATATGCCTAATTTTTTGTTTGTATATCTCATCCAAAACATATAGATTGAAGTGAACGGAATAAATCAAGTAAATTGATCGCATATAACATAGTTTTGAAGGTGCATCTTTAGATTGAACTGCTATATTATATATATATATTCTATATATATATTAATATATATTTATATATATATATATATATATATGAGGTGAGGTACAATCCACTTGAGTGGATAGGCAACCCTTTGTACTCCTAACTTTCTATCCACTCATTTGTGTTGAGATTTGTGCTAACAAGAGATACATAAATCTTCAAATAAAAAACGGTCTATACATATCTTTCACAGATCCCAGGGAAAATCAATAGAGAAAAATATTAGCGAAGACAAGCATTCTTCGTATTCCACTCAAGTGCGATTGTAATTCATCTCTGCTCCTTCCCTCATCTCTCTCTCTCTCTCTCTCTCTCTCTCTCTCCTCTCCTCTCCTATATATATTATATATACTATATATTATATATTATAGCTACTATTAGCGTATATGGGACCGAGGCGCAGGCAGAAAACAGCATTCTCAGGAAACGTGTCTGGCGGTGTCCGGGCACACCCGGAATGGGATGCGGCCCAGTGTTCTAGCACAACGGTCCCCGCGGGCGGGCGCGGATCAGCCTGGTGGTCGGGGCCTAAACAGTGGCGTCTACTGCACAGCAGGCACATAAAAGCTCAGCAAACCCTGCTAGGCGCACCACTACCCGGATGCAGAGCCAGGGATGATTAAGCCGCAAAACAATACCGTGATTTTGCCTTGCTTGGTGGCATCGGTTCTATCGCTCGGTGGTCTTTAACAGACGTTCTTCATGTCCATAGGCAACCGGCTGCGGCTACCGACTGGCGCGCGGTCCGATGCCGGACTGCTCCGCTACTAATGCTACAACAGCTCGCCGCCAAATCTACTAATCTCATCTCCATAACCCATAAACTGTACATCACGCCAGGCCAAGGATCCGATCACCGAACAAGCCGTCCTAGCCCGCCTTCTTCATGCAACTGCACTCTCCCTCCTCTTCACAATCGTGACTACGCCTTTCCTCTCCGGCTTTCCATCGAACCCCATCTTCCGCCACCGCCTCCTCTTGATTCGTCCTGGACTCTCATACCCATCTTCTGCTGTCGCCTTCTCCTAGTTCCTCTTCCCTCCTTTATCCCTCTTCAACCGACCCTCCACTCCCCTTCTACCTACCGAATGGTCCTCCCCTCTCCTCTTTGCATCTCTAACCCATCTCTTCACATTCGCACCAAAGATCAACTACAATTGTGACTCCCGAGTCCTGACTACAACTATGACTTGGCCGAGTGGATTGACGGCTAGAGAGAGGTAATAACAAACTTTTCCATACTTTTTATGATTTTTCATTGATTTTATAAATTTATAGTAAATTTTAGTTAATTTTAGTTCAAAATTGCAAATTACAGTGAGTAGGCATATTGAAATTGATAATGTGATAGTTGGTTTATAAATTAATTGTTTGAAATCTTGAATAAAATGTTGGTTTGCTTTGTGTGATAATCTGATTGTTTGATGTTTGCGATTAAAGAAGAGCAATAGGAATTGTGAACTTTGTCTTATAAATTGGAAATTGGAAATAAAAAACTGTAAATTAGAGTTTTGAAACTTTGATGTGTGATTAGAATGTCTAAGTCTAAGAAACAGTAAGATGGCTAAGTCAATTTGGTTATGAATTCTTGTAGTTTGTTTGTAAATTGATAATTTGATTTGTTTTTTTTTTAATGTGCGATAGAAAAGAATATTGAACAATGTCTAAGAGTTTAGATCCCATTTGAGAGCATAGTATTTTGAAAGAGGGAGAATCCTATCAACGTGTCTATTGCAAGTAGTACACAACATGTCACGACGGGTGTAATAAGGCTGAAACATCACTTAGCAGGTACCCAAAAAGGGGTGAAGAAATGTGAGGAAGTTCCACCAGCTGTGAAAAAGCAATGTGTAGAAATTCTAAAAGGAGTGGAACTAAGAATAGAGAAGAAGTTGGCATTCACTCAATTAATTGCAATAATGGAAGAAGATTCAATCCACCTGGAGATTGATAGCATCTAGGCACAAAGCAGACATGATAGCACTAGCCAAGTCCAACAATCCAAAACATTTGGTCCATTGGATCAATTTGATAATATATAAGGCCGTCAAACGATGATCGAGAGTAGAGTTAAAAAAGAAGAAAGGGATGTCGTAGTTCAAAAGATTGGCCGGTTTATCTTTGCTGACGGATTGTTATTCAACATCTTGAACAGTCCATACTAAAGGGAGATAATAGATTTAATGAGTACGTTTAGGCCCGAGATGAAGCTTCCTCCTCCTTATGAGACAAAGACTCGTATGCTCAAGAATGAAGTGGAGCATATAGATACCACAAAGGCAACTCATAAAAAGGCTTGGGAAAAAATGGGTGCACTGTTATGTTTGATGAATGGTCGGATATGAAGAGCAGGTGTTTGATTAATTTCCTCGTGAACTCACAGAAGGGGACTTTTTTCGCAAGTTCGTTGGTGCGTTGCGTCTATTAAGGACGAGGAGTACCTTTTCCAATGCCTTGATCAAATGGTGAACGAGACTGGGAAGAGGAATGTTCTCCAAGTCATCAATAGGTGCACTCTTATGTCTGATGAATGGTCGGACAAGAAGAGTAGGTGTTTGATTAATTTCCTCGTGAAC